CGCTGCGCTCCTCCCGCCGCCCCTTACCAGGTGCCGCCCCAAGCACGTGCTTGGGTGCCTGGAGCCGGCCCTGCCCCCAATGTATTCTGGGAGGGTTTTTAAAATCTCCCTCCTCTGAAGCATCAGGGATGGTCACAGCTGGAGATGGGTGACTGAACAGAGACGGCCAGGGTTCTGAGGTGTCACCAAGCATTCTCTCTCTCAGGTACTTGGCTGGCTGGTTCCAGCTTACATGCTAAGGGTCTAACTGATCGCCACAGGCTGGATCAGGAAGGAATTTTCCCTCAGGTCAGATTGGCAGTGACCATGGGTTTGTGGAGGTTTTTGGGTTTTTTTAGCCTTCTTCAGCAACATGTGATTATCTGAGCATATCTCACAATCATTTCACTGCCAGAGCAGGGCTTCTGCCACTGGTGCACCTTGGTCCCTCCTATTTTCTGTCTGTGGCACATAACAGTCTAATACAGTGCTTCTCAAAGTCGGGCCGCCGCTTGTTCAAGGAAAGCCCCTGGCGGTCTGAGCCGGTTTGTTTACCTGCTGTGTCCGCAGGTTCGGCCGATCGCGGCTCCCACTGGCCGCGGTTCGCCGCTCCAGGCCAATGGGGGCTGCGAGAAGGGCGGCCAGCACATCCCTGGGCCCACGCTACTTCCCGCAGTCCCCATTGGCCTGGAGCAGCGAATCGCAGCCTGTGGGAGCCGTGATCAGCCGAACCTGCGGACGCAGCAGGTAAACAAACCGGCCCGGACCGCGAGGGGCTTTCCCTGACCAAGCGGCGGATCGGCTTTGAGAAGCACTGGTCTAATATACTGTGGGCTGTAGTACTTTGGTCTAATTTTGGTTGTTGGGTTTTGTGAGCGGGTATTGGATTACGTTGAAGCACTATGATAGAGAGTGAGATCAGAATAGATGATCTGGTAGCCTTCACTGTAACAACATTATGTCCATGTCAAGTTTCAAACCACGGCTTTTTTACAGTAGCATTATCTAAAGAGGTGTATACAGATTTTGAATTAAAAATGAAAGATTTTTTTCCTCAAATCTAAAACAACTAAAGGAATTTTCCTCAAAGTTTCTGAAAAAAAAATTCACCTTTAGGCAGGGACCAAGCACGAAAAACTTCGATCTCATTATTAAACAGTTCAGAAAGTTATGAAAGGAGGGAGAAAACGTAAACTCTTTTGCAACCTTACACTATAACACCAAGTTTAACAATCCTGGATTGGCAATAGGGTTTACTAGAAAGTCTAGAAGGTCTTTTCCATCTCCAATTTCTAATGATTTTACAATGTCTAATGTGACCTCCATCACTTTAAATAGCAGAGCTGGCAGCCTAGAAAAATTCTGCTCACGCATGGTATTTTTTTTTTTTTTTTGGGACAGGCCTATAAATTGCCTCCACTATAATCATAGTAAAGGTTGGGTGATCAGATTTTGTCCACGGATTGGTGCACTTTGGCTGTGGGAAGCAGCGCGGGCCAAGGGATATGTTAGCCGTGGCTTCTCGCGGCCCCCATTAGCCTGGAGCGGCGAACTGCGGCCAGTGGGTGCTGCTATTAGCCGAACCTGCAGACACGGCAGGTAAACATACCGGCTTACCCTGGTTAGCCGCGTGCCAAAGGTTGCCGACCCCTGGTACATAAACTGAAAGCAGGGAGAGTCAGTGTTTTTGACAATACGCAGTACATCTCTTAGAAAGAGAACATACACCCACAAAATTAAAACTGAGGATAAATACACTAAACACTTAAAAATCTTTAGTCTATAATTTGGACTTGACCATTCTGCTATTTAAAAAAATTAACAAAATTAAGTTAGAAAACTGTCTCCACTGCAACTGCAGTCTATATTTTTCATGCTTTATCACAAAATATAACATTTTAGGGCATGTTCTAGCTGCATAATTACCTGTGAGGAAATGTTAAATTTAGTTACTCTTCTTCTGCCTTCTTAGAATTTTAAAAATAATCTTTCTTTCACCATTGTAAACACCAAGTCCTCATCTTTTCCCCCATGTTAATGACAGAGTCAAAATTAACATGGCTATTTTTGTTTATTTCCTGGTAGTGTACACAGATGATAGCATCACAATCATAAAAATAGTATAGTGTTCTTTATTCATAAACTGCTTTAGTTAAAAAAAAAAGAAAAAAGCCAACAATGTTAGGAACCATTAGGAAAGGAATAGATAATAAGACAAAGTATCATAATGCCACTATACAAATCCACCTTGAATACTGCGTGCAGTTCCCATCACCCCATCTCAAAAAAGATATATTAGACTTGGAAAAGGTACACAGAAGGGCAACACAAATGATTAGTGTGATGGATCAGCTTCCATCTGAGGAGAGATTCAAGAATGGGACTATTCAGCTTAGAAAAGAGATGACTAATGGGGGATATAAAAATCATAAATGGTGTGGAGAAAGTAAATAGGGAAGTGTTATTTACCCCTTCTCATAACCCAAGAACCAAGGGTCATCGATGAAATTAATAGGCAGTAGGTTTAAAACAAAAAAGGAAGTACTTCTTCACACAACAGACTATCAACCTGTTGAACTCATGGCCAGGGGATGCTGTGAAGGCCAAAAGTATAACTGGGTTCAAAAAAGAATTAGGTAAGTTCCTGGAGAATAGGTCCATCAATGACCATTAGCCAAAATGGTGAGGGATGAAACCCTATGCTCTGGGTGTCCCTAACACTCTGATTACCAGAAGCTGGAACTGGACAACAGAGGATGGTTTGCTTGATAATTGCCCTGTTCTGTTCATCCCCTCTGAAGCATCTGGCACTAGCCACTGTCAGAAGACAGGATACCAGGCTAGATGTACCACTGGTCTGACCAAGCAGAGCCATCATGTTCTTATGCAGTACTAGCAAAGGAACCAGAAGAACCCTCAAAAATACTTTTTAATATTTTACAGTTTTCCTGAAGTAAAACGGTAGATGTAAGCAAAAGTAAACATGTTTTTCCTACCCTAAAATATACATGTTTAAACCATTTTAAGGAAAGTCAAATGTTGCTTAAACTAAACAAACTCTACTTGATCCATCTGTGAAAACTTCATAATTACCATCAGAAATGTTGAGAGTGGGGTTGCTTCTGGATATGAAATTTCAGATTATCAAATAATTCTATTTTATTTTGCTGTCCATCCACAGTAAGAGTAAGTAATATCACTAATTTTTTTCATCATCAAGTGAATGGACTTCTACATTTTGTGTAGAACAGTGAAATTTCATGAGAAATTTACAAAGCTGATACAGCATGAATAGTTAGCAATATAATTAGGCATAAAAACAAGACATGAAAAATCCACTTGCCTACTCATTCACACTGACTGGAGACCTTCCCCTGACAAATGGGTCCAATGTCACAAATTTACATATAATTTAGGATCTCAAAACCAAGTTTCTATCTATTTCCATTTTTATAGCACCCATTACCATATCTAAGTGCTAATCCTTAGGGTTCTGAAAGAATCTTTCAAATGTGAACAGATGCAATGCTGTCTTCCTGAATCTGAGATGGACAGCTCCAATGCCTCTACTATAGCACTCATATCTTTCCCAAGAAGCCGCAAAGTGGAATTAAGAAGACTAGTCATTTTTATTACGCTTAAACTTTATTATTTGTATTACAACAATACTAGAGAATTCCAGTCAGGATCCTAGTGTGGTGTATAGATGTTAGCCAGAACTTTGGGGCAGAAGTGAAATTGGCTGCTTGGGAAAGTTACCAGCAGCCATGAGGCAGATACCACCACTAACAGGGATCAACTCACAAAAATAAAGTCTAGGAGAGCGAAATGGAAGGCTCTCTCCCCCCGCAGCCAGGAGGCCCAGACCTGACAGGAGGGGGGAAAGGAACCAAAAGCCCTTCACTTATTCAGCAACCAAATTTGGGGGGTGGGAAGAGATTTCACATTTACTCAGCATCCACTAACCAGAAGCTGATCTAAAGATTAAACAGGTGCTGGGTGGGGGTGAGGACAGTCTCTGCTCAGACTCCCAACACCCTCGCACCTGCCAGCAGCTGGAGGGGGCCTTGACCCTCGGGCTCGCTGACGGGTCCCCCAAACTAGCTCGCCATCCCCTGCTATGCTGGAAAGCCCCAGGGAGCGAGCCCAGCGCTGCTGCGACACGCACCCGGGCCACTACCCGGGCCAGCTCCCAGGTCGGGGGGGTCTCTGCCGCGCGCTCCGCGCAGGGAGGCGGCAGCGATGCTCCCCTTGCGGTGATGGGGAGAAGCGCCCCCGGATCCAGCCGTTAGCCCTGGCTCCCTCCCCTCACGGGACCAGGGAAGGGGCAGCGCCTCCGCTGCACCCAGCGCGGATCGTTCCCATCCCCAAGCGCCTGCGCTGCCCGCCCGGGTCTGTCACGGGCAGCGGGGCCGGAGGCGCCTCGGGCGGGGTCTCGGGGCGGCGGAGGGGGCAGGGCCGTACCTGACTCCGCAGCGTCCGGCGCCCGCAGCCATGTCACACCCCCTCAGCAGCGCACAGCCGCCGGGCTCGCTCCGGCCGCCGCAGCGCTCTCCGCTCCGTCCCGCCCCTCCACCGCTCTCGCGCGACTTCCAACCAACCGTCGCGAGGTTCGCCAGGCCGCGGTCTCGCGCACAAGCTACAGCGCGCACTAGGTCAGCAAAAGGTCACGTGAGAGTTGCCCGCGCCTCCTATTGGGCGAGGGGATAGCGCGAGTCCCCGCTGGACTGAGCGAGAGAACGCAGCGGGACGGGAAAAGACGGGGAGAGCGAGGTTAGCACGCGCCTCCCAACCCAGGCACGGCCGAGACCAGTGGAGGCGGTGGGGCTGAGCCCGCACGAGGGGAGCAGGGCACGTGCAGGGAGGCCGGCCCACGGGGGGGGGGGGGGGGGGGGGGCCGGGGCGGGGGGGGGGGGGGGAGGGAGGATTCGGAGAAGCTGTGCAGAAGTGACAGTGCGCACCGTAAAAGGTCCCCACTGAGACACGTGTGGGCCTGAGCCTCGGGCTGGGGGCCGGCCGGCTGGACGGAGAAGAGGCACCCTAGTGCATCGGGCATGGGGGCCAGGAGCATCCCTGCCACCAGTAGGCTACCCCACGCTCCAGTGATCAGTCAAGGTGGGGGCTGGTTAGCTGTTTCAGCCCCACTCTTCAGGCAGGTGGAAGTTTGTGTGTCACTAGATCCTACTCCCAGTCAAATTAATTCAAAGGCTGCAAAAAATGGCCACGGGCCAGCAAAAGACAACCACCAAAGCCAGCCAAACGCCAGTCTTCTAATAACCCCGTACCAGTGCACAGAGAACGCTGAGACTCTCAAAGGCTTCACAAACAATAGGGCATTGAGAAGAGGGGACCTGTACTGACTCCCACACAAACACTCCCTTCAGCTCTAGCCAGGCTTTTGATCTCTCTTCTCCCCCATGCCCGCCTCCCTGAGTTTAGATGTCCTTAGGGGTAGGTAAGCGCAAAAGTTTAAAAGCCCAACATCTTTTCCAGATTCTTCAGCTATGGCCTTTCCCAACTGGTACTGAACTCAATAGAAAAAGCCCTGTTGATGTCAATGAAAGTTGTATCAGGCCCCTGCTACAGGAAGCAGAAGATTCTGTTCATGGGAAGTCTATGTCGAGGGATGCTCAGACTGAGGTAATGACAGCACAGTCTCAACCCATTCTCTCAAATTTAGCCCGAGAACTTCTTTCTTCATTCCTCCCCAACCATTTCTTAAATTCAGTGCTGCAAGAGAGTCTCCAGCCTGTACTCCAAGTCTGATGACATATTCAAAGTTTACAGGTTCTCTTGCACTGTTACAATATAGCACTTAATTGTATATGCTATAGGGGCTCTTGCTCTCTTTTCTTTCTGTCTGTGTGTGTTAAAAATGGTGTACCAGTTGGATTAATTTTTCATTTTATGGCAACATCTATTGATTTAATAAAAAGTTTATAGAGGCTCCCCTATCATTTTAGCAGCCTGTAAGCAGGAGCTGTCCCACAGACACAACACAAGCAGCAGCAGCAGGAAGAAATGACACAAAATAGAATGCTTGCTTAACAACTTTGAGCAGGATCCTCTGAGAATGCTCCAAAATGAAGGACTCTCCCATCCCCCTCCCCCAAATCCCCAAAGGTTGGCTTAACCCACTTTCCTGAGACCAAAACAGCCTGAGAGGAGAAAGACCTACAGAACCAGAGACCTGACCAACTACAGGCCCAAGACAGCCTGAGTATGGCTGGGGCTACCCAAACATGCACACTGCGCCTGAACGAGCAGTGGTTGAGAGAAAGAACTGAATTGCTCAGTTGCTATCAGCCACAAAGATGATATCTGTGGCTTCACTGGCCAGGAAAGAACCAACTGCCAGCCATGTGGCTTCCCTTGTACCAGGGGACCCCAAAGAGTGACCTCTCCATTTCACAATGAGAGATACCCCACTTTCCTACCAAGCTCCAATACACTCAGCCTTGTGCTTGATTTCCATACTTTTCCCTTTCATTTCTTGTTCCCACCCATACCACTGCTAGTTTCACTCTATCCTTTCCCTTAATAAAATGTTAGTTTCTTCTTACTGCTGTTTAGTCCTTCGTCATTTGGTATTTCTCAGATGCATCATAATTACCACTCTAGAGGTCAGAGGCTACACATTCATATATTTACCCTACTACTACCACCACCACTTACATCTTAACCTGTATAGTCCAGGAAATCTAGCAAGTTAGGGGCTAAAATCTGTGCATTTGCTGTGGCTTGGAGCATAAAGAACCAGGAGCCCATTGATCCTAAGGAGGTCACAGTGGTGGGACAAACAAGCTCCACCACTCTTGAGGACTAAGGAGGAAGTCAAATACATTGGGAGTCATTTACATATTCTGTAAACTTGTCATCCCTACAGTAGATAAGTTTAAAAAGCTCTGCAGTTTTCCAGTTAACAAGCTTATGACCGAAAGTTCCTCATTGTTTCAACCTCTTTGTTTTAAAATACTTTCAGTGTTCAGGACAATTGATAACTCTATCAGAGTGGCTTTTTCTGAATGTCAAGACTTACTTAAAGTAAAAAACTTTTCAGAACAAAACAGGAACTAAATATGTGAAGAAAAGCTTTAAAAATAAACTCTGACATCTTTTTCCTTTGTTCTACAACACCCTTTAGACTATTCAGTGATAATATATTCTGATGGCACTTTGCCAAATCTTTGAAATTCAGGATTTATAACCACCAGGAAACCATAAAAACATAACCTACAGTACACCATTGTTTGCCCAGAAAATTGTTTTCATACATCATGTTAGAAATGGAAATTACTGACTGTACTGAAATGTTTATATTTAACAGTCTGATATAAATGTTTCATTTGTGATTACACAAGAAAATTGGTTAGTTATTGGACACTTCTTATTCTCTATGTTGCTTATGAAAAGAATATCTCACAGCAACAGTTTCTGGGCTCCCGAAACTGGATGTTCTATAGGATAAATCTAGTTTTATTTTTCATGTATGCATGGGGGGGGGGGGAATACAAACGTATCTATTGCAAATGATTGAAAATTCAGAAGTTGGTAATTTTATTTATATTCTAGAATCTTCCATTCCTAGATGTACTAGAGCAACCTGAAAGGCAGCAAATAATTAATTGCCTTTTACATTCAATTCATTTTTTCATTTTCAATACCGGCGTACAGGGAAAAAAGACAAACAAAACTTGTACGGTAACTCCTCACTTAATGTTGTAGTTATGTTCCTGAAAAATGTGACTTTAAGCGAAACGATGTTAAGTGAATCCAATTCCCATAAGAATTAATGTAAATGGGGGGGTTAGGTTCCAGGGGCAAAAAAATTTTTTGCCAGACAAAAGACTATATATGTTTTGACAAAGTTCCTCCTCTACCTTGGTGGGTCCTGCGCTTATTGGCGGATTTTCTCGCCTCACAGATTCACCATGTGGGTCGGGAAACAGCCCAGAGACCTTCCCCTCCGGTAGAAGCCACAGACCAGGTCAATTCCTCTTGTGTCTGATCAGGAGTTGGGAGTTTTGAGGGGAATCCGGGCCCGCCCTCTACTCCTGGTTCCAGCCCAGGGCCCTGTGGATTGCAGCTGTCTAGAGTGCCTCCTGGTACAGCTGCGCGACAGCTACAACTCCCTGGGCTACTTGCCCATAGCCTCCTCCCAACACCTTCT